CTGCAACTCTGGTCAACGCATGCTGGTACTCCAGACACTCGGAATGGAAGCCGGTGAAAACTGAGGTGTCTCTGGCATTGGGTTCGTTTCACACAGGCAACTGAATCTGCTGAAGATTGTCGCCAGCGGCGGCACCTTGGATTCGGATCTCAGCGACGGAACCCTGCAGAAGAAAGGAGGGTCGGAGCTGGTTCTGTTGGTGTTGAACCAGAGCGGACAGGTGAAGACTGATGAGAAAGTGGAGATTAAGAAATAAGCTTCACACCTCCTTAAACTAGGGACATCCCAGGTCATGCCAGATTTCTTGAAATCCTGAATTGTGTCATGGTATCTTATTTGCCAAGTCGACCCTTGGTGATAAATTTGACGTTTACTTCATAGGTGCATAACTGGCGGTCGAGCAGTCGCGCCCTGAGGCGTTGCGCATGGACGCGCAAGCGGCAGGTCTTCATGGCTGACGTAGCCCTGAGCCGCCAGGGCGTGCTCTTCTGCACTGAAGAAGGGGAGGCATTCTCTGGCAGATTCTTGGGCAAGAAATCCTCTTCGTCAAGTCATGGCAAAGGTACCGGGTCTGTTACTACCACAAACTATCACATTACCCCTGGACCTCTCATCTTAGGATTTTGAAGGATGTTGTTGGATCAAAGAAGGTAAACCCTGGCTACTATTAGTTTGTGTGGGACTTAATGCCCATTGGGAGTTCATACAAAAAGAGTGTGCCGCTGGGGTCCTTCGTTCTTGAATATTTTGCAGGATTCAGTAAGATTCTTTGCAAAATTCTCACTCATTCGAGCTCAAGTACTCTAGTACTTCGCTTCGCTTGGTCAGACTTATCCTTGCATATCTTAGATTCACAACGAGAACTTCTTATTTTAAAAAAATCATGTTTTTGTCAAGGATTCTTGCTCTGTTAGCTTTATTCCTATTTGTCATGAAAACGTTGCATTGCTGTCCAAGTGTCCTCTTACATGAATAGATGATTGATAACACACATCCTTGACATTATCTTTACAGACTTTTTAAGAAGTCACCTCACATAAATTTTGTTCCCAGCTTTCCAACGCTTTCGTTGAGCATAATACCTGTCGTTTCGTACTTCATTCGTTCAGATTCTTCCCAAGCCTCTCCTCGGGCCTCTCGGGACAACGTCCACTCCCGAGACTGGCCTGAAGACCCGGAAGAGATGGACCGGGTCAGCCTAAACCGGGTCCCTGCTGTCCACCGAGCGGTCAGGGTGGCCTGCAGCCCAAACGGTCTAGACTTCGCCGTGCTGCAGGCTGACCCCAAGGCAAGGTAGGGCTTGCATGGTGATTTCAGTCACCGTCCTTTTGTGCTCATCAAAACCAAAGTTACCCAATACTTGACTTCTTTCAAAAATCTACCAGCTTTTGAGAATTTTTCTAGGACTGAGGGAGGTAGTGCCAGGTCACGGATTCGTTCCATTTGGTTTGATGCGAGTTGTGCAAAGAAAGTTCCGTCGCTTCCTTGCACAAACAGGGAGTTTTGGAAGATTAAAGATTGAGCTAAAGAAGTGATGACAAACTTTGCGGCAACATCCCGCGGTGGAATCTGTCCTTGTATTGGAGTGAACATTTGTGCGCATTGCCACCTTTCTTGCAGCTTGACTGAGGTTCCTTCGGTGAGCCCATCGTTGATGGTGAAGCACCTGTCGCACCTTCTCACGGATGCCGATTTGTCGGATTGCATCCATGATGTTGTACTGAAGGTTGGCAACCATTTTCAGTCAGAACTTTTTATTATGCCTTATTTGCAATTTTGCTCATGTTGTGATCAATCAATTCTGATTTTCATTTGGTTATTCTCTAGTTTAAGAACTTTTTCGTGAAATGAAAAATCTGGAATGTATTACACTTTCAGTCTTTGGACAGGTACCACATTAAGGTGTATTTTTCTTTTTTTTCAGGTTGGACATCGATCCATTCCAGCCCACAAATACATCCTCACCCTCCGTAGTGACTACTTTCGCTGCCTCTTTCTTCAGACCTCGCCCCGAGAGAATCACAACTCTGCCCACACGCCGGATGCATTTGACTCTTTTCCAGTTGTCAAACCTCGAGAAACCCACGACGTCACGGACAAGACGGACTTCCACACACTGATGCAACTGCTCCAGTACATCTACACGGACACTTGTGACGTGTTCCAGTCGGACTTCGATTTTAAATCCGTCCCCGGAACTCCACGGAGTCCAACTACCGGTTTAGACGTTGCCGACGATTTTGACAAATTGACCATCACTAAGGAGAACAGACATAAGTCGGCCTACGGCGTGTACAAAGAGCACAACGAGAAGAAAGGAAACAAGGAAGGCGGAAAGAAAGCCAAGAAAGATGGAGGAGCGAAGAAGAATGAAGCTGATGGGATGGTTTATGTTAGGAGTTTGATCGACGCAGCTAAGAAGTTTGGCGTGGCATCTCTGGTGAAAAGGTAAGGGCTATGTCCAATCTTCACGGCTATGGCTTGAAATTACATGTGTGCTTATGAAAGTCATCAACTAGCAGCTTAGCCACTTCCCATAGATGCATGCATTGCTCTGAGCTGCAGCCAGTTGATTCAGACACAGTCAAGGTCATTGTGGGCACAAAGGGGGCAGTTGCACAGCACTGCTGAGTCCAAACATGTGCTTAGCAAACAAAAGAATATTTGCCTAGCAGAAAATTGGTTACTAGCCCAAAATGTATATGTACGTTGCTTGTGTCTAGTACTTTTGCTTATTCCTTGAATCTTGAATCAAAAGCGAGGATATCTCTAGCCCTGCATAAATTTTCTAAAATATCGTTTGGTATGTCATTTGGAATGTATGATGCAATACAGTAGGTGCAAATTATAGATAACCATCCATGTTCTCTGATGCGTAACTCCAAATTAGGGATAAAAACTCATATCAGTGACACTCCAAATGAAACAAAAATTCAAAGTAAGGCTATGCCTGTAACTGTAGGAAAATAGTCTGGCTCCTTCCCATTTCAGAGTGTTCAATCAATGAGGTGGATTCTGGGAGTATGATCCAAAATGGCCATCTTGTGAATAAAGCCCGGTTTTGGTCCAACCTTTCTTCCATCACGGAGGGGGTACTTGTAAGCAGATCCCATGGGGGGGCGCAGCTGTTTAATCTTAACCCATAAGCAGTATTGTATCCCAAAAAAGTTTTCACAGTTTCCATTTCTGGTCCATTTTTTCCTGGTTTGCGACTTCAGGTTGGACCAGGTCAAGTTCAGAGATGGTCGCCTGTGGAATTTCCGGCCCAGTGCCAAGCCCCTGCACTTCCACCCCCGGCAGCTACCCCAGCTTGCCAATGTGGTGCTGTGCTCCGAGGAAGGCACACTGTTCCCCTGCCACAAGTGTCTTCTGGTCGCCAGACTGGAGTACTTTCAGAGCATGCTTGGGTCCGGCTGGATTGAGGTAAGCCTGAAGTTAGTATTGTCTGTGGCTACGGATATGCTATGTAGCATTCTAATAGTGAACATTAAGCCCTAGCCTAAAGGCTTGTTTGTGAATGCTTGTAGCGTCAAGAGTATAGCCAAGTCAGTGGCCCTCGCACGCGCATCCTAATGACCTCAAACACGCTTCATTTGCGCTGTCGGAATACTGAAGTGATTCATTGTTCCATTTCATATCCGACCAAAGCTTCAAAGCTTCCAATTCTGCTTGGGTTATAATGTAGTTGCTATGAACCTAGAAAAAGAAATTTTGCATTTTGTGGACCAGTTTCATCTGAAGCTTTGTTAACGCTGAGGACAGATTTTATCCCCTAAATGTTTTCTTGCTTGAAGGTCCTGTGTTACTATGCCTGCGCCCAAAATGATTCCTCAAACTTCAGCAAGGCCAAAGTATTGATAATTGAGCACATGTCCTTGCCAATGTGAAGACAAAGTTTCAAATACGGAAGGAGACATGTGCCCTTTCTTTTGTAGCTGCATTGTTTCAAAATCTCTGAAATGATTCATAGTCTGGAAAAACATATATCTTTAAAAAATACAACCATGAAGAGTTAGGTTTGATTTCAATAACCATGCTGATTTCTCCCTCTTGAACTGTGATTGGACAGGCCAGCTCCAGTGACCCGTTGAAGATGCCCCTGCCAGCCTCCATCCTGTCCATCCTCCTGGAGTACATCTACACTGACGACGCGCCGTCGGTTAGAGCTGCTACCGATGTTGAGTTGCTGTGCAACATGCTGGCCACGGCCGATCAGCTGCTTATCAGTCGGCTGAAGGAGATGTGTGAGGTGGCCCTGGTTGACTTGAGTGAGCTAGAAACTGTTCTGGGATTTTTGTTCAAGTAACAACAGTCTGCCATTCGAACAAAATCCTCTTGAGTGATCTCAATTCGCCAGGTTGCATTGTGTATTTGGGGTGTGATCCTAGGTTATATAATGTTCCTAATGGCTTCTGAATGGAGAATGGATGGCTTCTGACCGGCACCCCCCTTTATGACTAGGTCCTCAAACAAATTCTTTGTAGCGCTTTCCATGTTGATCTTTTGTCTTTCTGATATCATCCTAGTATCCCTCAGGAATGTGGCTGAGCTGCTCCAGTTTGCGTCCGTTTACCGAGCCAACCAACTTAAACGGACCTGTCACCAGTACATCGGCCTGAACTTGGCCTGTCTCCTTGAATCAAGGGCGTTAGAGATTCTCAGCAGTGACGTATTACTGGAGCTCACCGAGGCTTACAAAGAAATGGTAAGGGGCTCGGATTCATGGAGTATCTGAAAACCCTTACCACCGCAACCATTACATTATGAACTAGGGGGAGTCCTGGAATGAAGACTGGATAGGATGAAGCGTGTCGGGAAAAAATTAGCTTGTTATTTTGAGGTTTCCCTGAATTAAAAAAGATGAAAAAATTGGATTATTTTCAGTGGAATTACTAAGTTTCAGTGAAATATTTCTTAGTTTTGGAAATTAATCCCGTAAATAAGAAAACCTTGTGAAACTTATTGGGTTGTGTACTCTCTTCAAAAGGCATTTACTTAGAAAACAGCGGTAAAATTATGAGGGGCTATAAAGGCAGAGGTTTTGAGGGTCAAAATGTCCTAACCACTTTTTCGTGTGCAAGAATGCTATACATAATCGTGAATGACATTGGATTTCAGATTCCGTCCATGCCCTACCGTATCATCACACCATACGAGGAAGGCCCAGACATCAGCTACATTGAGGAGGAACCATCCACGGAGAGCTCTCATTCTACCAGTGCAGAGGTTATGGAAGGCCATACCATCAGCTTTGACCGTGGCGACTTTGACCAGATCATCAGGAAGGCCAAAGCCAAGAGGAAAGCCAGTCGGAGAACAAGCACTGGAAAGCGGAAGAGTTTGTCGTTCAGTGAGTCTGGGGAGAACAATGCGAGTAGCAACCAGCTACCGGATGTGATACCCAGAACCCTTCCCATGGAAATGGACAACTTGACCATAGCAACAGATGCAATTGGGGATGCAGGGCAAGGCGACAGCTCTACGAGTGCCAGCTCCGTGTCTTCCCCGACGGGCCAGCCCAAGGTTGACGAAGCCAAAGAACGAGGGAGGTGGGAACAGGAAGCCTCGAGGGATTCTGGGAACAGTGAGCCGGAATCCATCCCAGCGAATCCCGGCAACCACAACGTATCCCCATCTGGAGTCCAGTCACCCCCAGGGAAGTGGATTAGGAAAGGCTGGTCAGAGACTGCCGTGGACGAGAAGACAAAGAGGAGCCTCGGGACACCCGAAAAGGCCTTCGGCAAAGACGAAACGCAGTCCAAAGGCTGGAAAAGGTAGGGACAGTGCTCAATGCTTCCTAAAATTTTTCATCAGCTTTAAAAAATACACCTGCACATTAGGAAGTGCCTTGTTAATTAGTGAATTCACTTTGTCCTGCTATGCCTTATCTGTTAATTATTTTTAGTCTTGTATCTAAACCATCTATTTTGGGTTTAGCAGCTGATCTTTACATTCATTTTTCCATAGATTTAAAAACTATCAATATGTTAATGTCTTCTCTGGATGCTTATATTTCATTGCCTGCATTGTTGGTTGTAATTAGTAAATGGTAAACTTTAAGACAGGAACTGTGTATGATACGCGGCAGTCTGCTCTGAACATTGCACAGTGGGCATGCTTAACTCTACAACTTTTCAGTGTCATCGCAAATTCATTAATCAAGGTATTTGTGTGTATCAGCCCCAGTATGTTAGACATAACGGGACCAGACCTACGTAGCATCATGCAGTCACAGGCATCCCTGACTGCAGCATCGAAGAAGCCGTTGACGACATCCAGAATGACCACACCCATAGCCAAGAAGTCCCAGAAGCAGCGTAAGCGAGAACAAGAGAGGGCAGCAGATAGTGCTACATCGCCGCCCCCTACCTCACCAGTGGAGCATCCAACACCAACCTGTCCATGGTTCGTATCAGGGCATGTGGCAGATTCACTTAAAAACTAGAACCGATTTCATGGCAATTCCGCCCCCCCATTCTTTACAGTGTCATGAAGATTGTCAACAAAGGCCATTCAGTATCAGAGGAAAACTTGCTTAAAATAATTGGAAAATATCAGTCCACCATTTAAAAATGAGCCCTCTGTTTCTGAATCTACAATTTTATATTCTTGCCCTTAAAGAAATTTACCAGAAAAGCCAATTTTTTGTGAAAGCACATTTTGAGTTCACATCATACTATTGGCATCTTTATTTTATGAGTTCTCCTGTTGTGGATAAGTGAATTTTCCCATTTTATGTTCCATTTTAATTTGAATGTTGCCCTGAAGTGAATCATTTTGCTCTTGGAAATCAGGGGCGGAGCCCGCAAGATGGCTCCGGCGTCGACATCGTCTTTCCGAGAAGTGCAGATGGAAGAGCAGAAGAGGATCATGGGCAGCACTGCCGTATCCACGGCAACATCACCCCCGGCCAAGTCAAGAGGTCTGGAACAACTCAGGTAGGGGGCAGGAAAATGGAAAGATGCGGGAGTGGGGAGTCAGACTGTTGACTGACTGTTGACTGGCTGACGGAACAAGTGACATTGTTGAGTGACCAATCAAGTGGGCCTATAGTTGATTATCAGCCCGACTGACAGACCGAGTGACCTATGGGGCCACCTATAAATCAAGTTGTTAAATTAAGTTTATGACCAGAGTTTTTTAGAACGTAGAAGTTAAATATTTCTCTTGTCAAGTTGCAAAGTTTCTCCAAGTTTTTAGTGGCTCCAGTTAAGTTTGTGACCCTTGAGAAGAGCTTTCTAATCTTTTATTACATTTTCAAATGAAGACATCCTTTTCCCTAAAATCCATCTTGTGTATACTTTCTTTTCCCTTCAAAAGTAACAAAATTGTCACTGTATTCTTGGTAAGAAACTCAATATTGTAAATAAAATTGTTTCAAATCACATAGATAGCAATATTGTTTTGATAGTTGCAAGCTGTATTGTAGGTATTGATTTATGTTCCTTAAATCTGCAGCTTTGGTATAGTGTCTCGTGCTAGAAGAGTTTCGAACAATGAGCCCAGCATGCTAGTGGAAGCACCCCCTCAAAAGGCAAGTCCCAGAGAAGTGCCGGAAAAGTAAGAGTTCAGGTCTTTTTCTGCCTAGGTCAAAATTGAGTTTTTGTCAGAGCGAGTGCTTGGATTATATTCTTGTCTGATGGTTGTGTACTTTATAATATGCTTTATTGAAATGAAAATGGTACGTCAAAATCGACCTTATGCATTTATATTTAGTTTCTGTGGTGTGAACCTTTTGGGGTGCTGGTCCATAATAGACTATTCCAACATGTTATTCATCCTATATAGAGTTAAGTTGACGTTAAGGGCCTTACTGAAGGACAAAGTCAGTAGATGGATTTGAACACCTTAACCATATGATCACAAGCCTTAAGCATTACCCACTCAACCTGTTGCCCCTTGACTGACTAAAATCCTGCTTTTCTCTTCCCAGTCCTTGGCAGCACCGAGCCACTTCACCGCCGGCCGCCCGAGTCAGCTTCTCTGAGATCATCAAGTTGGAGACGGAGCAGCGTGAGACACTTGCTAAGACCCTCAAGAAGCCATTCTCCCTGATACAGGTAAACGGACTGCTTCACGACCTTGGACCAGATCACACCGAAGAAATTTCTGTTATTGGCTAATCCTTTTAGGAGTATTTTGGCATTCGATCAATTTAATGGTGTGCCTTAAAATATGTCAACTCTTCCTCTGAAAAAAAAATCCTGGAAAAAAGCAGCCAGAATCAGTAGGGACTTCCTAAACTTTAGAAAGATTAGAAAGTTTCTGCTTCAAGCTTTCAAAAAGCTCAAACATTTGTGAAAATCAGTTGTGGAATGGGAATTGAGAAATTGCCTAAGATGAGTACAAAGATGGTTTGCTTTCTTGAGATTCATGTGGGACTTTCTCTGGTTTACGGCAGATTGAGGAAAAGGCTATTGAAGAGCTATGGGCCTATTACCACACGGAAGACAGAGTGGATGAGTTCGTCACCGTGGAGCGGGCTACCAACGTTGCAGCCACGCCTCTTTGGCGGAAGGGCAAAGATGGCAGCTGACAGTATGAAAGCATTATGAGAGGAGAATAGGCCAACGTACCGGTGACATCACGCTTTATGTACATGTACGCTTGTTTGTGGAGCTTCAAATTCACTCTCCTTTTAAGTCTCCCATAGGAAAATGCACATGTAATCAAAGCGTGACATCGTTGATAGGGAGACCAATTATAAACACCTGTGCCAGCACTGATATGAGGAGGTTGCAGAATGAAGGTAAAGAAGTTAGCAACCAAGATTTGAATCAGCTTTTCTTGAACTCATTAAGCGAAACTTGTAAAATGAATTGTGTAAGTACCAAAGAAACTATTTAATGCAAAACAAAAGATTTGCGAATTATTTTACCTTTTGCTGTGTAACGTGAATTGATGCCATGCCGGCTTATATCAATGTTGTATAATGGTTGGAAGGGATTGATTTCAATCCCACATTTCTGTTTCCTTGGAACTGGGGAGGATCTGGCATCAAGTCATTGACAGTGTTTTCTTTTTGGACGGACAAAAATATTGATTTTTTTTGGGGGGGGGATTTGAGTACTTGTGGAGCGACTTCACATTGAGGGAATCCGCCTTGAGCAGAAGCACCCCCTCATGGGTTGAAAAGAGCCATGTTGGTCAGGAGTGCTCATTTTGTTGGTAGCGATGCGACTGCAATGCTTGCGTTGCCTAGTTTGTGAACCAGCCTTGCGCAATTAGTACCAAAGGAGCCTCTGTTACTAAGGGAGCAGCGCCCTCTCTTGGTCCAGCTTGAGGCCCATGGAGCAAAATGGTTTGATAAAGCCATCTAAAGGAGCACACCAAACCAATACTTGTCTTTCTTTGTATTTGAAACACATTCCATGTAAGATGCAAATAATCATCACAGATGTAATCATAACCACTTGAAGAACGATTTGTTCTTTTGGTCAGACATAATTGCATTCTGGGTAAATTCTCCCACAAAGAGTAGTGTTGGGCCGAATACATAACTACCCATTGCTTATGAGCAGCATAAACGTGGTAAAAGTTCTCTGATGTCTTGAATATTTGATGTCAATCTACCAAGCAAATACTAAATGTTTATTCGTTTTTAAGCAATTCCTCATCTGGGTAGCATTTGCTTGCAAGAAATAAGCATTAACCTTTGCTTAAAAGAAGAAGTGATTGCTTGTTACAGAAACCATGTAACTAGAAGCCTAGAAAAAGCAATTGCTAGTTTTAGGCATTTGGCCCATTTCTTCGCCTTTATCTTGGATGGTGAAATGGTTTTGTGTGTGCAATGCTGGACCCATAATATGAAAAAACTTGGGATAGCTCCACAAAAGTTATTTTTTGACCAAATTTGAAGAAAGATGCAACGCTAACCCTTCTGAAATTTTCATTATATTTGCCATCCAGGTGCCTCAAATGCAGTCCTTAGGTGTTTTACTGCACTCCAGGTGTATTTTTGAGTAAATATGAAAAAAGTAAAATTATGGCCAAAATTTATTTTGCAAGGCTAACAGTTTTCATTAAATTGGGATCTAGAGGACCCATAGATGATT